CGTAACACCAGGCTTTCGACTTCAAAAGTTTGAATATAATTCTAAAATAAAAAATTATATACAGATTTGATAAACAAGATATTTGACAACCCTTATAATTAGTAATGTATTTAATGACGGCACAAATAAAATAGTTAGCTCCCAAAAAGGTTTCACCCGGGACGTGCTAGCAGTAACAGCTAAAGCTAGCTAGCTGTTTCATGGTAACTTCCGGGGTTTTCGCGATCGCGTTTGTGTCACGTTAAACAGTATTTTTGTCATGAATACGTTGACAGCAAATGTCTGGAATCGTCTGTGCATGTGTTTTAAGGATGTATCTGTATACTGTATTGTCCGATTGACGTTTAATGGTTTGATTGATTGATATGTATTTGTTTTATTGAGCGTGGCTGAGCTCCGCTAGCTTCCTCTACACAGACAAGTGTGCAGAAAAAATGCACATGTAGTGACAGGCGCTGAAGCTTGTTGTACTTGCAGAGTAATTTAGGATTTTTACACACCTGAAATTACAAACAGAGATTGCATTGGGGCTGCGGTCATTATTGGTTTGAGAGTTCTGTTATTCAAGAATTAAATGATCGGAAGAATTGCATTCAAGTCCCAATGGAGTGTTCGGCCTGCTGCTGTGAGGAGCTGTATAATAATTATAATTAAATATTAGAATATATTCTAATGTTAAATTAATACAATCCGGAACGCCGAAACTAATGGTATTCTTTACTTATATATTGTTTAGCAGTGCATTGCTTTAGTACCATTCATCAGTGATTTGTTGCAACAGCTTACAAGTTGCGCTAAATGCTAATGTTAGCATACATGTCAGATCGCAAATAAAACTAGTGGCTCTGTGTTATGAGAGTCGCAGGGAAATGAGAAGCCTGTGAGCGAGTTGGGGGGCGGTGGCTAAACATTCAAACATTGCAGAAACGGGTATAGCGCCTTTAACTATTTATTTTGCATCGCAATACAACACATAACCCCTTTTTTCCCACACTGTCGACAGAAAAGACTTCAATGTCCCTCAATATGAGGGAAGACAAACTTGAAGGCTTCCGATATGTTGTCTTGCTCCTCACTGTCCGGGTCAAAACCGTCTTCCCTAAACTGAGAAAGTCTGCCTGAGCTGAGCAGGCTTTATCTCCGGTCCCAGTCCAGCACAGGAGGAATTGTATTTTCCGATGAATAAAGACCAATTTGCTTTGTCCAGCCTGCCTGCCATTCGAACAATCTTTTAGGACTTTCCTAAGTCTCGATGTCCTAGAATGAGACAAAAAACACAACACAATGTGAATTTATATGTATTAACAGTTAAAAGTATTTTTAGCGACATTTATGAGTTTCGCCTTGGGAGGCGCTCGTGCACCTTTGGTTTATCCGTTACAAATAAACCTGACAATGGTCCAGCTGCTTATTACCTCATTTGACCGCCCTCCTGCTTCTCCCAGTGCAGAGAACAGATTTTCCCCCACTTTTTTTAATTATTATTATTTTCTTGTGGAGTCAATTTAATAGATAACACGTTTTTCAGTTTGCAATGACACTGCTGGTGGCGAGGGTCCATATGCACCATTTTAATTCCGTATTATGTGTGGTATGTTGCTCTCATCATGAGCCATGAGGATATTAAAATTCTTGGGCTCCAAGTCCTCCCTGCCATTCACTAAATCATTGTATTTTATTACATACTGGTGGTAGGTAGTTTGCAAACAAAAAAAAAAATCCAAGAACTGTGGGATAAGAACCTGAGTTTTATGACTCTTTGTGTAGCAGGCAACTGTCGGCAAAATCTTGTTGCTCGGGTGCCAACTTGCGCTCAGAACTGCGCTCACACTCCCCCTCGAAGCATGGCCCTGGCGTCCTCCGTCTAGTGGCAAACACTTTGCCATAGCTTGAGTAAGAGGGTATTAATGGAACAATGTGAATATTGTCATTAGTAAACATTCTATTCAAGTAATACTTAAAGAACAAATAAATCTCACTTCCCAAGGTCAAAGGATCTCCATCAGTAATACCACACCACCATTTTCCTCAGAGTTGGCATGTCTCTTAAAAGTCCAAGATAGAGTCAATTTAGTTAGCAATGTAACAGTAGTTCTGCAAGACAGAACCGAAAACTGATGTCTCACGTTTCTTAGCAGATGTGTTACAACACTGGTCCATGCCACAGAGCCCAAGTTCGTAGGATCTGAGGGGGTCCCCATATTATGAGCCAAGCTCAATGCACGATATAAAGGATATACTTACAACAGTGATGTCAAACCTGCGCTGCCAATACAGTGTACAGTGAATACTATGAATAAGTGTAATTTTGGTTTAATCCTAATCAATCGTAAGAGAAAAGTTGTGAAATGGAAGCCATACCATCAACATGATATGCCCGCAATCATTGCCATACAGCTGCTATTGGAAGATCCTATAAAAAAATAAAAACGATTGAAGAGACCTAGTGTGAGTATTTGGCATTCCCACACATGTCCAATTGGCCCTGACCTGCTTTCCAAATCCCTGTCCCCTCTGTCCATGGACACGTCCCCAGGGATTATTGATTGCACAATTCCTACAAGACCATTGTGAAAGATGCTTCAGTGAAAAACAATACTTAATCATTATGCTGCTGCATAGCATTAAAAAGTTCAATTTTGAACAAACTCTACAGGGCTTTTAAGATGCTACTGCTATTCAAATTACGTGCTGAATGTGCCAATAGGTTTGTACATTAAAGACAAGTGTCTCCATCTGTGAGACAATGGGAAACATTAAATAAGCATGCTCAGCAGTCAAGTCTTACCTGCAGGTTCCACTTTTGTAACTTCTCTCCTCTCTCGCTCCTGCCTTGTGCCCTCCATCTTGTACATTAATAGTTTATTTAGAAAAACAGCCTTCAAGAATCCCAAAAAGGCTCTCAGTCACCATGGAGGTTTTAATAACAGCCTCAAAAAGTTCATATGAAGACTTAACATCGTTAAAAGCCCGTAAAGCACAGATCCCGAACGTGATCTGAAGAACTCAACCTCTTGGCAGAAGGGGGCGGCAAAGAACAGGAACCATGTTATCATACCTAAAAGGTGACCCTCAAGGAGTCCCCAAATAGGGACACACTATGGCATCTTTGAGGTGAGGATCAGTCTAATATTTAGTAGAAATTAAATAACTATACATATAGATTTTTCTGAGTGCAACAACAGCATTTGCAACTTACAGGAAAGGAGGGCCACGGGTCACAAGAATATGGAGTTCCTGCCAGTTGGAACAATAATATAGGGCCACAACAAAAATTCTTATCCCTATCAATCATAAATAAAACAAATTTTTGCATCTACCACAATTTGTATTTTACCTTGACTTGCGCGACTTTTTCAATTATCTCAAAAGCAGCGTCGGCGTTTTCCTATCTGAAAAAAAATAAATAAAATGAAACATAACTTTGAATATGCAATATTGTTAGCCAAATTAGCAGAGCAATAAATAACAATACTCACAGTTGACTCCATATCTCGTTTTAAACCAAGATTTGGAAAGTCCAGACCAGTTAAGCCATCTTAGTACTCTAGTACTATCAAGTAAGCAACTACTAAGTAGGTCTGCTTCCTCCGCCCTGAAGGTACTGATTTTCCGATAATGACCTGCGTAATATTCGTTATCCCTTACACATTCAACAGTGTGGTGTTTAAGGTTGCATGTGGTGTGTAAAATTACAAGGGGTGCACATCTCGATAAATGAATTTGGAACGTCGACATTGGCTAGCTTAATCATGTGCAGTTAAATTTATCTATAAACGCTAGAAATTAAACAAGTGCCAAATTTTCTAATTGCACAAGTTATATCTTTTACTGGGACGCAAAATTAGCTAATGCACAATGTCCCCGAGGCCGACTTAATAATAATAATAATAATTTATTTATAATGCACTTTACATTTGACACCATATCTCAAAGTGCTACAAACAGCAAGTCATAAATAAAAGCAAACACATAAAATCATAAAAGAACTATAAAAAAAAATCCAGCAGATACGCTTTTAGTAAAAAGATGGGTTTGAGTCCCTTTTGTTAAAAGCTTCCACGCGTCTGTTGGGGCCCTGAGGTGGTCCGGTGAGGCGTTCCACAGACGGGAGCAAAGCGGCCTCCGAAGGCCCGGTCCTCCCATTTTCTTGAGCTGTGTCCCTGGGCGGAGCAGACGGTGCTGTTGGCCTACCACCGGTTCTTGCTGCTGAAGACAGTGTGGAGTTGAGGTAGATGTGGGGCTTCCATCACACCGTGGAGAAGTGGGTGGGTGTGCAGAGGATCTTGTATCCTATACGGAGGTGAACGGGAGCTCATGGAGGGTGTGAAGGATGGGGTGATGTGCTCATGCTTCCACACCCTCATCAGACCCTGGCCGCGCTGTTTTGTACGTAAATGGAGATTTTGAAGGCTCCTGCCAGGGATCCCGATGAGAGATGCGTTGCAGTAAATCCAACCTGGAGGAGAAAAAGGCATAGGACGAGCTTCTCTGCAGCCGGGAGAGAGAGAGAAGAGCGGAGTTTTGAAATATGATACGGAGGTGGAAGAAGGAAGTTTGTTGCAGATGGAGTATGGTGATTTCCGAAGGAAAGGTGGGGGACAAACTTGACACCCGAGATGGGTTACAGAGGAGAGAGGGAAAAGCTGTGGCCAAAGAAGAGATATGAGTTGATGGGAGAAGAGTGAAAGTTGATAGGGGATTTTGAATGACTTCTGTTTTGAGCCATTCAGCTAACAAGGAAGTTTTGCCCTCATCCATGCACCATCTCCTCCAGGCAGGAGGTAAGACAGGAGAGAGATGCAGAGGAGAGGTCTCCTCCAGGCAGGAGGTAAGACAGGAGAGAGGATGCAGAGGGAGGGGGGAGGGAGTGACTTTGAGATAAGTTGTGTGTCTGCCGGCCGATCCCATCTCCCCCACGTCCTCCTGCCCTGGGGGACCCCCTCATTAGATCTGCCGTGCCGATGCTGGAGACCATCTCCCCCACGTCCTCCTGCTCCTCAGATCTGCCGGCCGATAGATCTGCCGGCCGACCATCCCATCTCCCCCACGTCCTCCTGCTCCTCATTAGATCTGCCGGCCGATCCCATCTCCCCCACGTCCTCCTGCTCCTCATTAGATCTGCCGGCCGATCCCATCTCCCCCACGTCCTCCTGCTCCTCATTAGATCTGCCGGCCGATCCCATCTCCCCCACGTCCTCCTGCTCCTCATTAGATCTGCCGGCCGATCCCATCTCCAGCACGTCCTCCTGCTCCTCATTAGATCTGCCGGCCGATCCCATCTCCCCCACGTCCTCCTGCTCCTCATTAGATCTGCCGGCCGATCCCATCTCCCCCACGTCCTCCTGCTCCTCATTAGATCTGCGGCCGATCCCATCTCCCCCACGTCCTCCTGCTCCTCATTAGATCTGCCGGCCGATCCCATCTCCCCCACGTCCTCCTGCTCCTCATTAGATCTGCCGGCCGACCTCATCTCCCCCACGTCCTCCTGCTCCTCATTAGATCTGCCGGCCGACCTCATCTCCCCCACGTCCTCCTGCTCCTCATTAGATCTGCCGGCCGATCCCATCTCCCCCACGTCCTCCTGCTCCTCATTAGATCTGCCGGCCGACCTCATCTCCCCCACGTCCTCCTGCTCCTCATTAGATCTGCCGGCCGATCCCATCTCCCCCACGTCCTCCTGCTCCTCATTAGATCTGCCGGCCGATCCCATCTCCCCCACGTCCTCCTGCTCCTCATTAGATCTGCCGGCCGACCTCATCTCCAGCACGTCCTCCTGCTCCTCATTAGATCTGCCGGCCGATCCCATCTCCCCCACGTCCTCCTGCTCCTCATTAGATCTGCCGGCCGATCCCATCTCCCCCACGTCCTCCTGCTCCTCATTAGATCTGCCGGCCGATCCCATCTCCCCCACGTCCTCCTGCTCCTCATTAGATCTGCCGGCCGACCTCATCTCCCCCACGTCCTCCTGCTCCTCATTAGATCTGCCGGCCGACCTCATCTCCCCCACGTCCTCCTGCTCCTCATTAGATCTGCCGGCCGACCTCATCTCCCCCACGTCCTCCTGCTCCTCATTAGATCTGCCGGCCGATCCCATCTCCCCCACGTCCTCCTGCTCCTCATTAGATCTGCCGGCCGATCCCATCTCCCCCACGTCCTCCTGCTCCTCATTAGATCTGCCGGCCGACCTCATCTCCCCCACGTCCTCCTGCTCCTCATTAGATCTGCCGGCCGATCCCATCTCCCCCACGTCCTCCTGCTCCTCATTAGATCTGCCGGCCGATCCCATCTCCCCCACGTCCTCCTGCTCCTCATTAGATCTGCCGGCCGATCCCATCTCCCCCACGTCCTCCTGCTCCTCATTAGATCTGCCGGCCGATCCCATCTCCCCCACGTCCTCCTGCTCCTCATTAGATCTGCCGGCCCCGATCCCATCTCCCCCACGTCCTCCTGCTCCTCATTAGATCTGCCGGCCGATCCCATCTCCCCCACGTCCTCCTGCTCCTCATTAGATCTGCCGGCCGACCTCATCTCCCCCACGTCCTCCTGCTCCTCATTAGATCTGCCGGCCGATCCCATCTCCCCCACGTCCTCCTGCTCCTCATTAGATCTGCCGGCCGATCCCATCTCCCCCCACGTCCTCCTGCTCCTCATTAGATCTGCCGGCCGATCCCATCTCCAGCACGTCCTGCATTTAACAGAATTAGGAGTAGTAGTAGTAGTAGTAGTAGTAGTATTAGAATGTAAAAATTTAATACTTTAAAACTTTACCTCCAACTCCCGGATCCTGAACTCCCTCTGAATGCAGGAGGGGTGCCGGCATTCAGAGGCAAGGCTGTCCTCAAGGTCCAAAGACGAGGCCATGGGAGGTTGTGGGTCGGTATCCCGCAGCTCCGATAGCTGCTTCAATGCGGCATCTCTGCGGGCTACCTGCAGGTATGCCGCCCTTCTCCCGGGGAGCAGATCACTGTGGCGCTCTATATGGATGGCGAGTCGTCTCCGAAAGAGACCACACACCCCGGACCGGGCATGTTCCCTTTCCAATCACAACCCTGCCAGTGCATATGGCGTTGAGTATGGTCCTCTCCCTTGCGTTTTTAATTCCATGAAACTCGCGGATATGTTTGCTAACATGCTGTAGCACTTTGAGGCAGATGGGGCACTGGCCCGACACTTTGGCTTAGTCATCTAAATGAAAGGACAGAGGAACATAGTATTAGCAGTAGTAGAAGCAGAGCAGTAGCAGTAGTAGTAGTAGTAGTAGTAGTAGTAGTAGTTGGAGAGTACTTACAGCTGTGATGTTCTCAGTGCTGGCCTTGTACTGTACTGAGAGAACTGAATTTGAATTGAATTTATTTCTTTATTTCAAAACCTGCACAGAAGACACATTTGACAAATGTTCAGACACATGTTCAAGGTTTGAAAAGGGGTTGGATGAAGCACTATGCTTATTTTAGCCCAACCCTCTCACCCACACAACACCCGTCAAAATAATCCAAAAATCACATCACAAAGTACTATTGTCAATACAACACTACCACCAATGGTATACAAGAATACTACTGTACATTTTGCCAAGAATTTCAATACGATACTACCACCAATGGTATACAACAAAAAATGTATATATATATATATATATAATATATATATATAGGTTGTCATTTGAAGCAGTCCATGGGAGGGAGGGCCTGCGTGCTCTGGTCTGGGTCCCATGCCTCTCTGGGGGCCCCTCCCACGCACCATCTCAGGCGCTCCATGGTAGTAGGAGGCCTCTCCTTCAAGGGGCAGTCCTTCGCCCAGTGACCGTGCTTGTAACAGAGGCGACACACATCCCTGCCCCCTTTCCAGCTTCCACCCCTTCTTCCTCCCCGCCCCCCACGCCCACCACCTCTGGCCCTCCCCTTGTCCAGTCCTGTCGTGGTGTAGTGGAAAGTCCAGCTGTCATATTAGTCATCTGATTTCTAGTTTCCTTTTTATTCAGGGTGGCTTTATTTTTCTAGCTTCACTAAGCTGTAACTTCAAAAGTTGACAAGTCATATCTTCAACACTCTTTCTCTCTTTAGTTTTATTTTCAACATATCGCTTAATGTGAAAGATTAAATTTGTCTTCCACTGAGCTGAATCTGGTCTATGTTATCAGGGCTGTCTTCAATTTTTGAGCGTATTGTTTCTGGTAAACCATTCAAAAATAGCTGCTCTAAAAGGCATGACTTCACTGACCTTGTGAGGGTGTCTCCCTACAGTGTCCATCCACTTGGCCAACACACCTGTCATAAAATACCAGTGGGTCCTCAGACTCCAGCCAAGTTAACTCACGAGGGGCAGAAGACAGCGGAGTTGGAAAGTTCTCCCTTAGTGCTTCATACAAGGCATTTGCATACAGGCCAAATCTGGAAGAATCAGAAACATCAGCAGTACCAGCTTGTCTTTCAATAGCATCTCTCTCCCATGGTTTACTACATGTTGCCAACACCGCCCTTACGTCACCCATCGCCACATCATGACCTGTAAACCATGTATTGAGACGGAAATCCAGTTTCCAGCTCCCTGGCACAATGGAGGCATTTTGTCTTTTATAGTCTGCATGTCACTTACAGAAAAAGGATGGTACTCCCCAGCTGCGCCTCGTCCTGGTCTCAGAGGAACATGGATTTTGTCTGAGACCTGGTTTTGCTTGCAACTGGTCTATTTCCCCCAGGCTCCTGGTCTCTGTCATCACTACTATCGTCAGAAGAGAATTTAGCTCCTTTTTTAGCCAGCTTTAAGTGCTGGTGGGGCCATGGCACAGTCTCCCCCTTCACCTTCAATTGTCCGTCCTAGTCATGGCTCTGCGTGCGGCTTTATTAATAAATTTTGCATTCTCCTGTCTAGCGGTCTCGTAATCATGGTCCTACTTGGGGTTTCTTCTCTCTCAACTCTGTTTGTGGTGTATTCAAAGGTTGGTATCCTAGTTCTAATATTTCTGAGAGATTGCAGGAGCTCCTCTTGAATGGATGGGGGTTGGTGATGGGTGTGTGGAGCTGTGGCGGGATGCTAACAGCTGGATTTTGACTCGGATCTCTATTGTCCCCCACAGACTCCTCTTCTGTCCCTTCGTCAAATTCCCTGTCTGCAAAGTCATTGTCCCATCTCTTTTCTACCGCCACTTCTCCTGAGAAAGTATATTGTGGCAGTTGTAGATTTGGCTTACCTGGTTCTGAACCCAGAGAATACTCTGGTGGAGCCGTGGGTAGGAGTGTGTATTTTTTACTCACCGGCATTGCTCCGTTTTCTGTTTCCTTGTCTTTACTTACCATAGATACTTTTGCCAACGCCGTGGCAGCCAGAGCAAAGTTGTGTACCTTGGTCCTCAGTTTCTCAGCCTTTTTTAGTTCCTTTTTAATTTTTCTACACTCATTCCGACTCTTTCCCTCGAGCTCTTGTTTCTCCTGTATTAAATTATTTTCCTCTTCCCCGCAAAATCTTTGCTAATGCGGATCTTGTCATATACTTAGGTATGGCCCTATTTTTCTGTATTTTCGTCCATGCTTTAATAGCCTTTTTTCTTTGCCTTGTCTCTATGCTCTTTATCCAAACCACTCAAAATCTGAGCCTCTACCTCTTTGTAGAGCTGCTGGATCGGAATGCATGTTTCCATTTTTCGGGGGGCCCGAAAATCCCCCAGGCTCTAATGGTTTAAACCTAACTTGTCTTGTTGACGCGCGTCCGTCAAGAACGCTAGTCACAGCGGGCTTTTCCTGTTTCTGACAAGGCTCTCAAAAAATCTTTACTTTTAATGTATTCTCGCAGGGTTCTAACTACTTAGACTCCTTTTTCTTTTTCTTTTTTTTTTTACTTTAACGTATTTTCGCAAGGCTCTCACTACTTTTTTAGGCTTTTACTATTTTTTACTTTTGAATTAGCTCCTCCGTGGACAGAACCTCTCTCCCCTTGATTTGGTTTATTCCAATATGCAGATTTTTAATTAGTCAAAAGGTATCTGCTTACCTTCAGTTCAGCGGCGCCGCTTGAGGAGAGACGCAGAGTCCAGGGAGAGGTTGAGAGTCATCAAGGATCACGTCCGGGGTCACCAATTATCGTATTAAAAAATGACGTGTTCAAAATCCCTTATAAAGATGACCAGGATTCAGAAAGTTAAATTCAAAAAGGTTTATTTCCCCCTAATACAAAAAGAATCTAGACAGCTTGTCCGGACCAAAAGTATCTAATCCCTATCCTCTATATAAAGTGTAACATTGGTGGGCGCTCCACCAGTCACACAGCTAATCCCTGATCCGGACTGAAAAGACTAACTAACACATTCAAGCTATTCATTAAGTAAATGTGCAGGAAGAAGGGGCGTGTCGTATCAGGCAGCTCTGGTCCCGGTCTTTGTCCTCCGCATCTCCAGACCTAAAATGAGAATCATTCACACCCCCCCCAAATCTATAGATTTATTACTTCCTTGAGATAAGGCAGGAGTCCCCAAGGCTGCTGTTTCTGTTTACTCTGGCCCCCGAGATTAACTATCATTAACTATTTCCTGCCCTTCTGGACTGCAAGATATGAAAGACAAGGTCTTTTTTTTTCTTTAAGAAAGAGAACAGATGTCAAACAGTCATTATTGCCACATCTGTTCATGTATATCTAATACAACAGAAGATTACTAAACTAAACTAAATCCTAAATGAAAAAAGTGGGGTCTAATACAACAGGGACATGTTGTGTCTGTATGCGTGTGTGTGTGTCTCTGAGTGCGTGATGTGCAGCAGTTTCTGTACCTCATTATAGTAAAATCTTCATATGAAATAGAATTAAAAACGTCCTCATTTGAATAAATACTGTTTTCATAAAGTCATGTCTGTCAGATCTTATCTGTGGTGAAACAGACACTTTGATAATGTGTGTTACGTGGAACATGTTTTCTGCGTCATTTGCATATTGTCTCCTAGATCCAGGGTGTCCCAATTCTTAGGGAGAATGTTGGGTGGCACGGTGGCTGAGTGGATAGCACTCTCGCCTATCAGCAAGAAGGTCCTGGGTTCGAATCCTGTTCGGAACAGGGCCTTCCTGAGTGGAGTTTGCATGTCCTCCCCGTGTCTGCGTAGATTTCCTCCGGGTGCTCCGGTTTCCCCCCCAACATGCACAATAGGTATTGTTTGTCAAAAAAGATTTGACTGACGTGTTCAAAGTTTGATACAAAAGTGAGACCAAGAATTCAAGAGTTAAAATAGAACATTTATTTCTCTTTACAATTAAATATTGATACAAAACTCTGGAGCTCTTAATTCCCTAAATCTATCCCTGTGCTGACTGAGACTCAAAACTCAAGCCAACAGTTTTAATCAGAATGGAGTCAGAGCACATTATAAATAATGTAGGTAGCATCTTCTGTGAGTTGGCCTGTACTATATACCTACATTGGCTTTTGTATTATGTACGTGTGTATCTTGCACTCCTTTGTAATATTAGATATTTCATTTTTTCATTTTTATGTAACTTTAATAGGGACTATAATCGCCGAGATCATACAAAGTCCATTGACGCCATCTGCTGACCATCTTGCCTCATGGCAGTACCCTTTATCAGATTATCTT